GCTCTGGTGAATTCTCTCACCCTCCCACGCTTCGGACTGTACCCAGTGCATGTATAAATAAAACAAATAAATAAATAAATAAATAAACATGCCTCTATTAAAAAAAAATATATATAAAAAAAAAAAAAGAAAAATCTGCTTGCTTGTTTTTCTATTGTTTGTCTTTTAGATCAGCACTTCCTCATCATTGTAAGCAATTCTAAAACAAACACCCCCCCAACCTAATTCTATAAATTCTATTCCATTTCTAAAAATATTGTATTCCATTACTCAGAGTCTTCATTTTGGGATTTTTACTTAAGATACATTTCTAGACATGGAATGATTTGGTTAAAGAATAATACAGTAAGCATCATAGTTAACACTGAAAATCATTCACAAAATTGTGACTTTGGGGGGGGGGTATGGCCCAAATACCACATTTGATTTAGGTTATTATAAATATTTCAATCAATATGTTAGTTTTTTTCTGAATTCTTTTGTGCCAACTAAAATAAATGCATTTGGTTGCAAGCAAATAAAATAATAAATTCAATCAACAGTGGCTGAAACAAATTGAAGTTTAATTTTCTCTTGTAATAAAAAGTCTTGTGGTAGGTGAATTGTCCCAGCTGGCAACTGCTTGAGGAAGTCATGGGGAACCAAGATGAATTGCATCTGACTCTTCCATCCTTTGTAAATGGTTTTTGTTTTTCCGTTACAAGATGGCTATTTTGTCTAGGCATTGAATTGTCTAAGTATGAAGAAAGATAAAGGACTAAAGGGCATATTGTCTTTCTGTCCTAATAAAACACTTTCCCAGAAGCCCCATCTGGTTGTTTTGGCTTAGATCTCCTTGTTCAGAACCAGGTCACATCGTCACACTTCATGGCAGGGCATTGTGGGAAAGAGAGTATTTTCTTTTTGTATCAGGAGGGTAAAGGAGAAAGGGAATAAGAATGGCTCTTGAGTAAAGTGGACATGGTGTCTGTCACAGGATTTTCATTACTTTAAGTAAAAAGGAAAGAATTGACTTTTATTTATTACAATTAAATAGAAAATTCTTTCAGAGAAATTATTGAATTGTATCCATCTTTGAATCCTGAAGATTATCATAGTGTTCATGAAAATGAGGATGGAGAAATGTCAGTGACAGGTTGAAAAAGTAAATGTATGATCCCTGGATATTAGAATGGGCTCATTAAAAAGTCACATTAGATTAGCCTCATTTTCTTTGATAGGGTTTCTTGTCTGATACTTTGGGGAAATGCAGTAGAAATAAAATATTGGCTAAGGTTCTTCAAAAGAACTTTGTACACAAATTGAGAAATGTGATTCAATGAAAGTTGAATTTGATGTTTTAATTTCAATTTTAATAGTTAATTCCAATAATAACTATGCAAAAGTTATTGATTAATGGAGCACTGGAGTGCTTCAGCACCAAAAGAGCCCAGGGTCTTTAGTTTTTCCCTGATAAATCACTAGTGCCTAGAACTGGGCATATTACATGTGACTTTTTTACCGTCGATAAAACAAAAGACATCCTGGATTGAGGTTTCAGGAAATTTACCTGTGACTTCACAGTATATTTACCTGTGACTTCACAGTATATTTCTGCTCTTTATAAGGAACAAAGAGGAATTATGAATGTAAAGATAGAACTCAGATCCCAAAGACTCTTGGGTGGATAAATGATCTAAACACAGCAAGAAGAAATTTAATGAAATAAATGTTAATTCCTTCAATTTGGCCTCCAAACCAGCTGTTAAAGTACAGGAACATTGGAAATTATGTTATTATTATTTTGGGGGGATACATCAACAGTTCGAATAAAAAATGATAAAGATCAATGGGAGAATTTTATGACAGAGCAGAAAATGACTGGGCTATCTCGGAAAGTAATGACTCCCCTATAACTTCATTTGTTCAAGGCTAAAGAGATTACATCAGGAAAAGCTATGGGAACACTGGGCATGAATGGAAAGCTGGATTGGATGATTTACAGACCCCTGCCCTCCTAGAGTGAGAGTAGATCTATTTTTATTTAAATCTACTTTAGAGATTGTCCATCCAAATAAATTCCAACCAATTATTATCAGTAGAACTTAAGATATATCCCCATTCTCATTCAACAGGTTCCTACAGCAGCTTCACATTTTGTATGACAAAGGTAAAGGCATGTAACCAAGATCTTGGGTTTAATGCATAGTCCTCATGATATCATTATCTAGGCAAAGTGGGGCTTTCAGTGGTTGCTCTAATAAAAACAATACCAAGTGGCCTCCCCGGTGGCGCAGCGGTTGAGCGCTGGGTTGCGAAGCTGCCCGTGACCTCTGCGGCGCCGGTTCGATCCCCGGCTGCTCCCCGGCCACCACAGGAGGGTCCCACATGGCGCGCAGACCTCTCCTGCCGCCCACTGCTCCCCTCAGCAGTGTACTTCGGTCCTTCTGCCTGCTCTGCTCCCCGCTCTGGCTCTGGTGAATTCTCTCGTCCTCTCGCGCTTCTGACTGTACCCAGTGCATGTATAAAACAAACAAACAAACAAGTAAAATAAAATAAAATAAAAGCATGCCTCTAAAATAATAAAAAAAAAAAACAATACCAAGTGAAAATCATTTTGGGATAGGAAAATGAGGGTGGGGGTGTCTAATATGGTATAATTTCTTTTATAATTTCTGGCTTTGATGTCTTATCTAAACTCTAAAGAAACTTTTCTTCTTCCTTCAAAATTTCATACTCCAAGCCCTTTTTGATGAGGTCTAGAATTTCAAGGCTCATGTCTGATATTTAAGACTGAGATGATAACCTGTTCTGGAATGCATAGTAATTCATAATAGATGAGGTAAGAAGTCCACTCAATGGAGATGTCTCAAAAAGCTAAAAATGGAACTACCATATGACTGAGAAAACCCATTTCTAGGTGTTTTCTCAGGTTGGGCATTTCAGATATTGATCGATATTGCCAATTACTCATCAGAAAAACTATACCAATTAAGCCAACCCAACAGTTTGATAAAGTGTTGATACTTCTTCTCCCTCATCAATACCAACTATTGCCAAACTTTCTCTGAAACACAATACAGTTTAAAAACAAATTTCCTTTATAATCAGTGAGTTTGAGTGTATATTTACATGTTCAAAAACACTTGTACTTCTTTACTAAGTCTATAGATACTTTTAACTATGGCTTAAGATATTCACAAGTATTATGCTAATTACTGGGGACACAGACTTGTGGGACAGACAAGTGACCAACCATCACAGGGGTCAAGGTTTAGTATAGTGTTGCAATGGGATCCTGCCCGAGGTAAACCCTTCACAGAAGGGTCAAGTTCAAGGCAGCACTACTGGGACAAAAATAAGGGGAAGTGGACAGGGCTTGAAAATCAGTTATGGGCCAATTTGAATTTTCCCTGATGACAGTACGACTTTACAGGAAATCTTTCAGTAGAGAATAGCATATTGGAAGTGTCTGGGGAAGCACTGGAGAAGGTACGGAGAACACTGAGGAAGGTGTCTCGTAACAGATGAGTTTCCTTGGTCTTAGGACTTGGTGGATCTCATTTAATATTACTGTTGTACTTAGCACATTACAAGGGGATGAAGCGCAAAGACCTCCAGCCAAGCAGCCCGAGTGTGATACCAGTTTCTGCCGGGAGCTTGAGCGAGGGGAGCAGTTACTCCCACTTGGGGTACTGTGAAAATGTAAAGAGACAGATGTGTGAAGTGCTTACCACAACTTGTCATATAGAAACGAGGGCTTAACCGCTAGCTGAGCTGATTACTCCTATTATTACCACTTTTTCTCACTCCACTCTGAAAAAGCTCTGACGTTCGGCTGATTATGAAATACATATGAAGAAAAAAAAAATAGAACGTGAAAGTTGGGAGAGCTTGGAGGGATCTGGTTCAATTTCCTAACTACTCAGGAGAAAATAAAGGAAATAAAGGGAAAGGAATCCAGCAAACTGCGATCATCGGTGCAACATCAGCCGACAAGCCTGGTGCTCTGTCTTATCACACCTGCACGTCTATATAGTTTGGTTTACTACACTTAACCTTAAATATAGATCTTTCCTGTCAAAGTGCTCCACACTTTGCAGCACACCATGCAACCCCAATAAAGTTTTCGGTTTCCTTGGAAGCAAAACTGCTGCAGCGGCTGACAGTTACCTCTGCAGACCCCCAGCTCCGGCTCTTTCCAGCAAGGGGGTGCTGAGCCGCTGGAAGCCTCCGGGGGGCGAGCCCCTGCTCGCTTCCTTAGTCGGGGCTGCAGGTGCAAACAGCGCTGACACCCTCACTTCTGCCTCCAGGATCCCCTCAGTCTTTCTACGCGAGGGCCCTGTGTTCCGATTCGATCGAATGAACAGTTGTTTAGCAAGAGCCTGTCAGGTGCCAGCAGGACGCCGGGCTGGGGATTTACTGGCGGGGTCCCGGCCCTGCCCCCGGGACCGGACTGATCCCCAGTCCTCTCCACGGAGTCTCCCTCCAGCTCTCTCTCCACTCCACCCGCCCAGCGCACGGGTTCTCTGCACGGTTCGCGCCGATCGCGCCGCGCGTCCACCCCGCAGAGGTTGCCCGCGCCGGGCGGCGGCCGCCCGGGCCCCAGCTCCGCACCCTCGGGGGCTGGCGGCGGAGAGAGCGCGCGGCCTCGGACCCCAGGGGACCGAGTGGGACCAGGGGCGTCCCGCGCGCGGGGCCACTGCCTGGGCCGGGCACCCGGGTCGCGCGCCCCCGGCGTGGAGACCAGGGCGCGCCAGGCGCTCCTCGAGAGTTCCCCGGCGCCGTCTCCCCTCCCGCGCGCCCCCCGACCGGTCCCCCCGCCGCCCGGCGCCGCCGGCGGGGTGCGGGTCGGGCCGAGCGCGCGCCGGGCTCTGGAGCGGGCCCGCCCGGGAGGCGGGCCGGGGGCGCGCGGGCCGGCGGGCGGGGCGGGGCGGGGCGGGCGCCGGGCGCTGATTGGCCGGGCCGGGGGAGTGGAGGCACGGAGTTTCCCACAATGCCCCGGTGCGGGGCCGCCGCGGATGGATGCTGCGGGCAGGGGCTGCCATTTGTCGCCCCGGCCAGCGGCGCGCGGACCGGCTGGCTCCCCGGCACCGGCGGCCGCCGCCCGCGCGCCCCCCCGGCCCAGCCTCTGCAGCGACGCCGCCTCGGCTCCCCCCGCGGCCGCCGGAGCGGTCGCCATGAACCCCAGCCCCTCCGCCGCGGAGGAGAAGGGGGCGGCCGGCGGCAGCAGCAGCAGCGGGAGCGGCGCGGGGAGCTGCTGCCTGGGCGCCGAGGGCGGCGCGGACCCGCGGGGCGCGGGGGCCGCTGCCCTGGAAGAGCCCGCGGCCGCCGGCTCCAAGGAGAAGGACGAGGCGCTGGAGGAGAAGCTGAGGAACTTAACTTTCCGCAAGCAGGTCTCTTACAGGTAGGCGCGGAGCCAGGAGCCCAGACAGGTGCCACCCGGGCGCGAGACCCTCCTGCCCGCCGAGCGACGCCTCCGCGGAGTGGGGCGCGGGTCGGGCTCCCTCCCACCCCCCGACTGCCCATCACGCGCCCTCGGGGGGCGGGGGGTGGGTTTCTTTTCATCGCATCCTTCTGGATCGGAGGGGAGCTTCCTTTGCGCCTAGTTTCCCCCATAACTGGAGGGAAGTCGGGGTTCCTGAGGTCAGCACAGTAAGAAAAATGTGTGTGTGGGTGGGAGGGACGTGCAGACCCAGAAATGCCTGGTTTTCTTGAGAGAAGTGCTCAGACTTGGCCCTAAGTCTGTGTCATCTTCAGCCACCTCCCCCCAACCGTCCAGATTTTCCTGGATGAGTCTTTGGTGCTCACTTGAGAGTTGAGAACACCGCGCTGGCGGAGAAGAACAGCGCTGTGCTGAAGAGAAATCCCTGTGGAAGTTGGATCTGCGTGGAAATGCCTCCCTCAGGACGAGTGATGTGGTCGGTGCCTGTGCACATGCAGCCGCTGGCAGCTGCAAAGCCAGAGTTTGTGAAGGGGTGAAACAGACACGTGCTCGCTCCCCAGTGTTCCAGGCGGGTCCAGGAGGTGCCATGGTTGCCTCCTGGCAAGGGAGGGTTGAGGGCCAGGATGCCCACCGTGTTTGCCTCTGGAGATGGATATATTTGTGAGACCAGGCAGTGTGGAATAAATGGGCACAAACATGATAAAATCGTGTCAAGCTCCCAAAGTGAGAAATGAGGATTCAGTACGTTTTCTACCCCACCCCCAAGCCCCCATCAAGAATAAAGATGTTGAGAGCTTTGGAGAGTTTTGGAGACCACCCTCCCTTAATGCTGATTGTTGTTTTCTGTGTACCAGATACTGTCTTAAAAGTTGCGGGGATAAACAAATATAGAAATACAGATGCTTGTACTTGCTAGGGCTTGGAGTATTTCTTGACAAGGTGTCAGTAAAAACATTCTGACGACCCCACTCTTTTGAGTTAGCAGTCCTTTCTAGAAACTCATATACAATATTAAGCCTGTCACACCATGTGCTGTTATGTAAGCAAAAGCAGATGACAGAGGTGTGTGGGCTTGTGAGGGTGTGTGTTGTATTTATGGGGGCAGGCGTGTGAATCATTGGGATCCCCATAGCACTGCTGGACGGCAGGCCCCAGTCACCAGGCTTGTGCTCTGTGTTCAGGTGTTGGCCTCGGAGGGCCCTGCATGGTCTTCTTGTGATGTTTGGGCTCCCGTGTGCTTGTGTGTATTTTGCTCACTGTGCATTGAGGGACTTTCCCACCTGACTTTGGTTACTCACTTAGAACAGGACCAAGATCAAATTTCTCTTTATATTTTTGGTTTCTAAAAATAGGCAGGTGGTGGAGAGTGGGGTAGCTCTAGGGAGGTATGCTGGGAGACAGGCAGTTCTACTTCTTAGTTACCATGGCCTGCGTGGCCCTTAGGGAGCAGGAACTACATTCAACCTAATTTAGGAAGTAAAGTTTGAGGGGGTTGATTATGTGAAGTGCGTTGTGACTTCCGTCTTCTGTGTCATTGGCACTGGTCAGACTCCTCACTGGGTAGGGCTGAAAACCAGAGTTTGCAAGGGAAATCATTTCAGCTTGCATCTTGGCAGGGCAGGCCATTCTCCGAGCCTCTCTCCTGGAAGTGGGTACTGTGTGGGCCAGGACTTGCTGGGTTGCATGCTCCCACATGCCTGTAAGTGTGCACACACACAAATGTTGACCTGGAGCCATAGACAGCACTTTTCTAGAGAGGAATCATAACACTGCATCTGCCCTATATCCACAGAGGTGGATCCTGCTCTGTAACATCATTTCCTTTTAAATAAAGCTTTACAATCTGCAGTTCAGCCAACCACCTGCATCAGTGACAATTCAGGTGGCTGGTTAAAAATGTCCCCCACCCCACACTTAGAAAATCAGACCCTCCGTGGTGGGAATTCTGATCAGGGTCCTCAGGTCATATACTTAAGCACACAGCTATCTGGCGGTTGTTGCCCTGTTTTTTTCCCCAAAGGCTAAACAATTGATCTTAGAACTCATAAATCCATGCCCATCCACACAAAACCAGGTAGTTCCAGGGCCAGAGGAAAGGTAGGTGACTCCGTTTGGCACGTGCTGTCTGAGGTAACCAGGAGAGTGTCTCCATTTGTTTATTATTATCTCTTAGGGTCATGGTGAATGGCCCCGCCAGCCAGAGGTCGCTGGGCCTGACCATTTCACCGGTGGGCTCATGAGTGGGCTCATGAAGTGAATAGCTTTGGCTAGAGTTGGGCCTTGGTTCCTCACTGAGGCCTACTCACTTTGGAGGGTGGGGGTACCCAAGCATGGTGACTGGTGGGAATTTGAGGAGAGGGGCCAGGGAGCCCTCACAGTGTGGAATCTAAGTGGAAGTTTCCCTTGGAGTGAGAAGGATGGTTGCCTGTGGAAGGGGGTCAGTTGAGGTGGGAAGAGATTTGTAGGTAGGTCAAAAATATCTTGTGAACAACATGGGTATTTGTGGAATGACACTTGACAGGAGAGAAGAAGGGGGCTTTGGGAGAGGGTGTGTGTGTGCGTGTGTGTAGGGGGGTCTCATCTGCTCCTTCTGTTGCTAAGGAACATATAAGCTAGGGTTTAAAAATAAATGAGGAGTGGGTGGGCATAGGCAGTGACTCCTGTCTTTTTAGGAACTAGAGCCCTTTACAAAAAGCCTTTAAATAACCATTTCTGGAGGCAGATTATTCATTTTGCTTGACTTTTACTTTGTTAAGTAAAATAAACTCCTTTCTATACCCCTCGATTTCCCCTCATTATCTTTTCTTTCTTGGCTTTTTTTGGGAACCATTTTTCCCATGAGAATTTTTCCTTTATTTCAGATTCTGTTCCCCTAGAGCAAATAGTCTCTGTAGACTGTAAAGCTGGAGGTTTTAGAAGGCAGTGCAAGCGAGCTGGTACTTTTCTCTTAAAATTACTACTTCCTTTTTCTTTGCAAATTATGGTGCTGCAACAGATACATGTGTGCCAATGACTATGTAATGTGTAAGAACTTTTTTTCCCTAAATGCTCTAAGAATTCTCATTTAAGTCAGTAAAAAAAAATGGCCTTGTAGAAATACACAGGAGAGAGGAAGGAGAAGTAGCTGATTGTTGTTTTCTGTGTACCAGCTACTGTGCTAAGTGTGATGGTATAGTCTAAGTTGTTCTTCATGACAGTCCTATGATGTGATTCTGGTTATTTCTGTCTTATAGACAATGATCCTGAAGCCTAGAGTTTGGGTGGCAGGCAAGATTTTAACCCAGATCCCATCTTATAGGATTTTTCTTTGGGTCATCTGGTGCTTTCTCAACTTTCAGGTTGGTGCTCTCTCCAGTGTGTGCATGTGTGTGTGTGCGTGCGAGCGTGTGTGTGTGTGTGTGTGTGTGTGTATGAGCTGTTCTTTGCCCTTTTCTATAGTATACTATGCTTGTCACATATCATCTCTGGTATTCTGTATTCTTTGGACCCTGTGCCTTTGACTACACAATTTTAACTCCTGTATTATAATAGCAGAGAACTTCTTTACTATTTCAGACATAAAAATGAGTATAAATTCATAATCATCAGAAAGTATATTGGTTTTGCTTCTGAGAACACAACCACCTACATGACACCTGCCATCTCTATGAAGATACCGTGTTAGAGTTTCATGCCTTTCAATAAAAACGGCACAGCTGTTGTGTAGGTGAATCTAGATCCAGTGAAAAGCTGGCCTGTCTGTACCGCCTGGAGTCCCACAGAATAAATGATCACTTGTGATTTTGCTTGTAAGGCGACCTGGACCATTACCATCACTGTGAGACCTTGATGCCTGTGGTTCGGGTCCTCCCGTTACAAACCATGATGGTAATACCACAGCTTCCTTAAAGGCAGTGTTAGGTATGAGATAGAAGTAGCAGACGCGAGTATTGCACTTCTTAGGTTAGGCAACTAGCTAAAAAAGATCTGGTATTCTTTATAGGTTGATGATAAGAACATAGTATTTCCATTTTGTGTTTTACCACCACAGCAGGATTATAAGAACGCGGGCTGGGATGTTGACAATCACTAGGACAGCCTGGGCGTTGTTCTTCCTTACATGGCAATCAGTGGTGGATGGGAAAGCCTGTTCCCCCATATACATGTGTATATATACACATAACCTCCTCCTTCATAAATTGCTTTTATTCATTGTGTGTTTTTGTCTGTTTTACACATTTGTTAGGTATTCAGAGACATTATGATCAGATGAAAGCTTGGTTTTAACTTCAAGTCTCCTTCCGGCATCATTACTGGCCACTGACTATGTAGATGGCAGCGGGCAGGACACACACCAGGCAAGACTGCGTTGGCAAGTCAGGGGCCTGGGTCTGCTCTCGCTGATCTTTCAGATGGTTTCTATCAGGGAGAGTGGCCGCCTCCGCAGTCCCGTGGCATCAGGGGAGGGAAAGGTCGAAGGCAGCTTTGCTGATGTTTAGTTCTACTGTGGCGACAGCAGCTTCGCCTTGTAGAGCCAAATTAGATCAGACTAGAGCTAGCTCTTTGGAACACTTCCCCTTCTACTCTGTGAAAATGAAATCTCTCCAGCCATTCCACGCCTAGGCTTCTAGCTGAGGGAAATGAAAACACTACCTTGAAGGGATATACGCGTCCCCTTGCGCACCGCAGCGCTGTGGACAACCGCCAGGCCACGGAAACAGCCTCAGGCCGGAGGACAGCGCGGTGGTGGAAGGCGCTGTGGGGTGTGCGCGGCAGAGTGCAACTCGGTTGTCAAAAAAGATGAACTCTTGCCTTTGCGACAACATGGATGGAACTGGACGGGGGGATGCTGAGTCAACTAAGTCAGCAGGAGCAAGGCAAGGACGAGATGGTGTCACTCAGATGTGGAAGAGAGGAACAAAACAGAGAAACAGAACTAGATCAAAACCCTCGAAATCTGATTGCAGAACGGAGGCGCCCAG